GAGAGAGAGAGAATTTTTAAGATTTATTTTTTAGTTCTCGGCAGACACAACATTTTTGTTGGTATGTGGTGCTGAGGATTGAACCCGGGCCGCACGCATGCCAGGCGAGCACGCTACCGCTTGAGCCACATCCCCAGCCCCCCCAATATTTTTAAATTTTATTTTGAGACAGGATCTCACTGAGTTGCCCCGGCTTGCCTTGAAATTTCAATCCTCTAGCCTCAGCCTCCCAGCAGCTGAGATTACAGGTATGTGCCACTGTACCCACCCTTTTTACCCATTTGTTAATTGGGTTGTTTGTTTTATCATCATGAGTTTAAGACTTCTTTGTATATTTTGTATAATTATCCAGTATCAGAGAGGACTTTTGCAAATATTTTCTTCCAGTTGGTAGCTTGTTGTATTCTCTTGATTTCCTTCTTAAAAAACAAAACAAAACAAAAAACCTTGTAGCATGATATACAATGGCCATTGTTTTGCTTTTTCACTTACATCTTAGAGATTGTTCTTTATCAATAGAGATCTTCCCCTACCTCTGCCCAATGTCATGGTATGAATAGACTATTATTGTTTAATTAGTTCCCTACTGATGAACAGTTTATAGCTTCCTTTTATTTTTCTGTCATAAGCAATGCTGCATATATAACATGCTTGTCTTTAGACACATGTGCATGATATTTATGCAGGATAATTCCTAGAAGTGAAATTTATGGTTAAAGAAATGCATCCTTGGTGTTTTTATGGCATTCTTTAGAGAATAAATCATTTAATCATCCCACCAACAATATGTTGGGATTTCCCAGGCAGTAAATCTGAAACTATTTTTTGGAAGGCTGGGGATGAGGCTAATTGATAGAGCATTTGCCTGGCCTGTGTGAGGCCCTGGGTTTGATCCTATCACTGTATTATTTTTGGAGGCCAGTACAGATTTTTCAACCTTCTCTTTTGGCAAGTGAACATATTGAATTAAACTACCATCTGTTATATTAATAAATTCATAAAGTATATTTTAGCTCCAAGTAAGCAAAGCTCAGAGTAATAAGGACTCATTGAGGAAAGGGGGAATAGCTGTCATCTTTCACTGACACTTTTGCCCACAGACAAGCCTTGCAGCCTGTTGGCATTCATATTTCTGTTGCCACCTCCTAGGATTCTAGCTTATTCAGTACTGAGCCACCATCAGTGTTATTAACTTTAGGAGGCTCTTTTCTCCTCTATCGAATTCCAACTTCAAGCTAGGATTTTGGATCTTTAATTACGTGGACCAGCTAAATCTTAACTGTCATATTTAACAAGGTTTTACCAGTTTCAGGGCTAAAAATTAAATGAAATACTGTACACTAATATGGCCCAGTTCTCATGGAATGTACTGCATAGTTGCTTCCCTGCCAAGACTTTGGCTTGCCTCTTGCTTAGAGCTTTTTTCTCCTAAAATTGAGAGTGCTCTAGGTTTTAGGGCAGTGGCTTACAGCCTTGACCACACAAGGAAACACCTGAAGTGCTTTGTTATATTTACTTTTGTGGTACTGGAGATTGAATCCTGGGACACTCCACCATTGAGCTACATCCCCACCCTGCTTTTTATTAGATTCTGATTTAATTCATGTGGATATGGCTTGAGTATGGGCTATTCTAGTTCTCAACCCCTGGTTATATATTAGAATCACATAGCTTTTTAAAAATTAAATGTCCAACTCTTAGGTTAAAGGTTAAAAGGAAACTTTAAAATGAATGGATCAAGCTGATAACATAACAAACCGATCAGTCTTACCATCACCAAAGTATCATCACGAGGTGTCATGTGCCTTCTGATTTGATATAGTAGGAAGTACATAGCTCTCTTTGTCAAGTAGCCCTGAATGAGAACTACCAGAACTTGAGTCTGAACAAGCCTTAGAATCTAATGCCAGTTTTTAGGATACTTGGAAGATAGAGAAGTGCTTGAAGAATAGTCCCTGGACCAGCAGTATCAGCACTATCTGAAGCTTGTTAGAGATGATATGCTGTTTCTCAGGCTTCATCACAGACTTACTGAATAGGACCTAGGGTTTAACAAAATTACTAGGTGATTCTTATGCATGTTAAAGCTTGAGAAACACCATTGTTAATGCTAAGAGATTTAATAAACCAAACCCAGAGAACATGGAAGACGGTATGGAACAAATAACCCAGTTTCTTCAACAAAATGAAAATGGGGGTGGGGGAAGGAAGAGGAGAGGAGTAATTATACATTTAAAAATATGTATTTTAAAATATTTTAAGAAACAAACTAACCAAATATAATGGAGTTTGTTTGGTTTCTTATTTTAACAAATCCACTGTAGACATTTTCAGACAATTGGGGAAATTTGAATATGGTCTAGTGGAAGATGGTAATAGGTAATAAAGAATGAATTATGTATTGAGTGATGATTATTTTTAAAAATAATTATTATTTTTGTGGTGTTGGGGATTGAACTCGGGAGCATTATTACCACAGTGTTTGTTTTTTGTTTGTTTTTGAGACTGGGTCTTGCTAAGGTGCCCAGGTTGAACTTCTGATCCTACTGCCTTAGCTTCCTGAGTTGCTGGGATTACAAATGTGCACCACTATCACAGCTATAATGATTATTTTATAAAAATAGACATTGTTAAAGATATACCTGCCATATTTATAAACAAAATATTTTTTAAAAAACATATATCTCTCTATATATCTGGTTCCATGCCAGGTTTGGATGAAATATGAGTACTGATAGTTTAAAAACAAAATCAAACAACCAATGGAACAAACCCTCCCCCCTTATAATGTTACACTCAACCTTAATAGGGGAAGTTCACAGATACTGGTGTTTTTTGTTTGTTTTTCACAAAGGTTCCCAACTAAAATCAGAAGATGTGGCACAATATCTAAAAAGAATTTTTTAAAAAAAGAGGTGGAACAAATGTTGGGTGCAAGAACCTCTGTTCCAGCATCCAACCCATTGTGTAATAATTTGATTGGGGGCTGGGCATGATGGCACACACTTGTAATCCCAGCGACCTGGGAGGCTGAGATAGGAGGATTGTGAATTCAAAGCCAGCCTCAGTCATGGTAAGGGGCTAAGCAATTCCGTGAGACTCATCTCTAAATAAAACACAAAATAGGGCTGGGGATGTGGCTCAGTGGTTGAGTGCCCTTGAGTTCAATGCCTGGTACCAAAATAATAATAATAATAATAATAATAATAATTTGATTGGTTTCTTCCAATAGACTATGAGTTCCTGGGAACAGAATAGTGGATAGACTAGAGCAGGCACTCAGTGTGTACCCACCTTAAGAGGGTCTCTTGCAAGGGGAAACACTTGGAGAAAGAACTAGTTGGAAGGAAGGAAGGAAGGAAGGAAGGAAGGAAGG